GGACTGGAGAGCAAGGAACAGAAAGAGCAACATCATCCTGCAGCTTCTGACTGTGGACAGAGGGCTTCACGTGCAGCACAACTTATGTTGGGTTTCATATACTGATGTAAGTTTCCCAATGGATGGGTGTGCAGCAGTGCCAGGTTAGCTGCACAGTAGGTGGCTTATATTACTGTGGCTCATTGCTTGCTGAGCTTCAGCAAGCTGCTGTCCTAGGATGGAGGTTGACAAGGCACATTTTGACTTATACCAATGAACTGTTACCCCAGATGATTTCAGGGGTAATTCTCTACCAGTTTATGTATGTAGACATATGGCATGTGTGTTGTGCAGTAAATTGAATTTAAGCCATAGTCAAAGTGGGGTAGATGTGCAATGCACAGGTTTACACTAGGGAGGGCACATCCATGCCTAGAACAGTTCTGTGTTACTATATTCAAATACATGCATAAGAAACTGGATCAGTAGCTTTGAGCTGCAGGATGAAAGCACCAGGGTAGTTCCCAGGGGTAACCATGCTACAGGCTAAGGATGCAGTTACTGCTTGCATGTTCATAGCTGAGCTGGTTTTAAGCTTAGCTGGCCTGGGGATTCAGAGCTCTGGAGCTGCAGCAGCTTGAATTTGAGCTGCTCAAAGTCCTTGGCAGGCTTGCGCAGCTTTTGCTGAGGTCCAAGTCTGCAGCTTTGCCAGTTTAAAGCCAACTTGGAGTATGTCAGTCACACCCAGATGTAGTGTAGGCAGATCCTTCAACATGGAGTGTCATGCTCCTGCCACTGGTGGTGGGATTGTAGAGGGCCTACATTAGAATGGGATTTGGCCTAGAAAGTCTCTTCCCCCATCCTGAATTAGGAGCCAAAGATGCTCCAGATGGGTACTGTGAGTTTCTGGAGAGCTCCCACCTGGAGGAAAGACTTGCAGCTGTATCCTTTGGAAGGGATCTGGCACTCCCTGGGCTGCCAAAGCCTCCTGTGTTGGATGTGAGGGTAGGGGAAGGCTCTTGTGCTGTGCAGAGAGCCTATCCAAGGGAAAGTGAATAAAAGAGAACTGAACAGTAGGGATCGGTTATATAGGGAATGAAAAACACATCTGGGCCATTCCAGGGTGAGCTGCACTGATGGTGCCTCTTGAACCCATGTCCTGTTATTGTTGGTGTGGAACATGGAGGTCTGGGCCAATAAAAATAAGGAAGGAGGCCTGACAGGCCCAGATTTTATCTTTGAGTTTCATTGTGACCCTTAAAGAGTATAATAAATAAAGTTGACTAAGGAATTGGCAAGTGCCCTATAACATGTAGTCCTGGTGTCAGGACTCAGCAGAATGTTCTGCTTAGCAATGCATTCTCTTGGCTTTGTTTGTTAAGTGCCTAGCTGGGAGGCATGGTGAAGGGCTGAGCAGCAATAGATGCCGAACCCATCTTCAACAGGACAGGTGCATAGTGCAGGGGTATCTGCTGATTCTGGGTGGGGGAGTTCACTTTGGTTCTTTGCGAATTCAACCCCTGGAAATGGAGCCATAAAAGGAAAATGCATTTACAAACTGATGATGTTATTCACAGTGGCACAAATCTGGAGAAGGTGATAAGAACTGCCTGCGCCAGGGACTGGGTCCAGTCTCTCAAATTAGCACAAGCACTTCAGAGGTTTGAACAAACCCCACATTTGACTGTTTCTTGCCTCCATTTCTTCCAGATGGCCCTACTTGCTGCACAAAAAGCTCCAATCACATTAAACCGCTCAAACATTTGGAAGCCTTGGCTGATAGCGAGGTAGCATGAATTCTAGGTTTGATGCTTGATGACTTTTGCAGGAATCCCTTCCTTACCAGGTCTTCTGTCAAATACTGTGAATGGCTAGTGTTTCTTGGGGGCAGAAAAGTGGCTAGGGCTTGACATCTACATGCATCTTAGAAGAGGGATGGGAATCCTATGGTGAAACACTTGAGCAGGCTCTTAATGCTTATAGTATAGTAGGTTAGAAAAATTATCAGTCCTGTTGAGCTTTAACAGTACCTGTGAAGTGATGTACATGCCTGCAGTACTGGAATACTGGAGAAGCACAGCTGTAGGGATTACAGCTAATTTCTTGAGGCACTTTCCTCTAATTTGTGTCCTTGCGATGAAGTTTTTGGTTCCCTCCTCCCATAGAATAAGTAGCACCAGAAATGTCGGCAACAGAGCTGAAAACTTTGAACTGACACAGGTGAACCAGGACCCAATTAGGCTGATGGCTGACCCAACATACAGCCTGAAACATGAAGCTATGCAAAAATGTTTGCCATTGGAAATGGATATCAGGTGCTGCCGTGTCAAAGGAGACTGCAACAAAAGAGATTGAAAAGGATTTGGGTCAGCTTCTTAGTGTTATGTTCAGAGATGGATGGGGGGGAGGCGGCACAGCACTGTCTACATGCACCACCTGTTGTGTTCCTTGCTGGAATGAACCCTTCACCACAACAGAAGCACCTCAGATCAAAGATCTGTTGATAAGTTGCAAGTCTGTGGGGTCTATACGTTGCATTTGGGATATGTAGACAGGAGATTCATGAAGACCAAAATCTCAATCTTGAACACAGGTAAGTCCCAGGGTGCACCTGGTAAGTCAGTGAAGACCAAGTCCCTGAACAAGTACGTTTTTTGGAATTGATATTATAAAAACTTGTAGCTCCCCAGTTGCCACTGGAGAGCATTACAACAGAGAAATCCATTGACTTCTACTGCCTCTCCCTTGTGGCTGGGAAGGGAGAGCAGATGCAGCTTTAGGGAGAAAAGTGCTGCTGGCACCATCATGCCATTGCTTAGGACTGAATTTAGCCCTGGCACTGATGGGTGCCTGTAGCAGGCTGGGGCCTGCTCGGGGTCTGTCTACTGGCCCTGCCCACCTGTTATGGGCCAACCGCCTGCCTTCTTGTCTGCCATGCCTGGTTAGCAATTAATTGTTGTTAATTAAGCAGGAGGCTGCCTGGTGTATGCCCTGATGCCAGGGGGCGCTATCTGCAGCTCTGTTCCTCCCCTACACCACAGCCCAAGCCTCACAGATGGCATCTGTAAATTCCTCTTTATGTTGGGGTCTCGGCCGCTGTGGGCCTACCCCTTTTCTCTCTAGCTAGGCCTGTCAGTCAAAAAACCAAGAAAAACCCAACCCACTAATCAGGGTTTGACTCCCAGGCACGCCTGCATTCACAAACAACCCCCCACCCCACTCGGGCTCCTGCCCCCCTCTGGTGCTGGGGTCAGCTCACCCCCAAATACTGTGCCCTCTGGCGCTGGGGTCCCCACACTGCAGTGGGCCCCCAGTGAGGCCGCCTCCTTCCCCAAATAGCCTCACCCAAACTACCAGTCTTATAAAACTACAAACAAAACATAAGGCTCTGGGCTATTACTTAATGTAGGCTTGTAAGGCCATATAATGGAAAAATGATCATACAGAAACAGGGGAGGCAACATACCTGCTTACTTTAGATGATCATGAGGATGGCTCAGGGCACGGCGTAGTCTTCCAACAGAGACTGCAGCCGCAGCACCGTAGTTATTGGGAGTCTGCCTCCCTGCTCCCCTCTGGCCTGCTCCACTTGCCATTTGTAGGGTCCTGGCCTTCCTCTTCTGACCAGCTGCAGGGCTTGAGCCTTAACCCCTACTTGACAGGCCGGCCATGACTGGAAGGTTCTGGACGTAAAGGGACCCCCCTGTCTCCTAGTAACAGGGTCAGGGTTCCCTGTTACAGCGCCTTTGCCAGCGCTCTCAGCGTGCTGAACTTCAGCCCTCACACTTGGCTTTCAGCCTTTAGGCCCAGCACTGTGAGATGCTGAGCATCTGCTGTGAAGTGATGACGGTCTCAGCATCTGAGACGGACTTTGCTGGGATCTGAGGTGGCTCACTGTCTCCCCAGTGATGCTCAGCACCGTAAAGCAGAAACAGCGCTGTTCTTTCATTTCAGCCATGCCTCTGGCCCAGCGCAGACAGCCTGTCATGCTTCTCTTTAGATACGCGCTGAAAAAGTTACCAGAATAGGGGCATAATCAGGGGGCCAGAGAACTTCAAAGGCTCCCTGAGACCTTCCCTGAATTCCAAGAAGAGAAAATGCTAAAGGCTGCATTAAAAAAAAGAAGCCAGAACTATTCTCTTCTCCCACCATAGGTAACTCGATGCCATGAACAAAGCCTGAGGCCAGTTGTTTGTTGTACAGCTGCAGCCTTTCAGAATTCATGAGAAATAACACTGATTTCCATCCAGAGGAACTATACAGGAATACCCCTTGCTTGCACTAAAGCCTTTAAATCCTCAGAACTAACCCATGCAATATAAAACTAAAGCTAGGCTCCTACGTTCCTCATAGCCACACCTGCCTCAGATGCCAGGAGCAGGACTTGTCTAAACAGAAACCTGCAGCTGTAGCTGTTGCCTCCAAACACCTGTTCTCCCTGGAGTTTCTCTCCCATCCCACTTTCTACATTTCCAAATGAATTTGTACTCAGAATGAGAACCAGACAGCACAGGTTCATTATTAGAGAGGCTAGCAGGGGCTTCTTTTTCCCTATTGTTAGCACCGGGTGACCATGGTCAGATCTGCAGGAAATTTATGACTCTGTTTCCACTGTACAGTGTAGGGGAGAGATACTACCCTAGCCTCCTGCTATCACTCTGTTACACTTCTCCTGTTAGGACCTATGATTTGTGTTTCTCTCTGGGAACCTCTGCATTCAGCCTGCAACTCTTGCAATGACTATTTAGCCCTCTGTCCCCTGCACAACTGTGTCTAGAGGCTGTGGCCTGCCCGCCCCCACCTACTCATATGCCAAACCCCAAAGTGCTGAAGCCAAGCCATTCAGCTGCCCACCATGCAAAATTTCTAGAGGCCTAAAGACCTCCCTGTTCAGTGCCACCATAGGAGACACCTCTGGCATGGACCCATTTGTGGTACAGTGGTGGTGGGCAGGGCCTGTACAAGCATATCCTGTCCTGAGAGCGTAGGGGACATGCTATTGACATCCTGGAAGACTAAACATGGAGAGCCTGGCTGTCATGTACTCTGGGGCCCTGTAAGTGCTTGAACACCCAGCATAGGAGCTTGCTCACTTGGGGATTAAGAAGGAAGGTCCCTACACACGTGGCTGCTTTGTTCCAGAGGTACGTCAGGGTTGTTAAAAGAAATGTGTCCCTCTTTTTCTTCCTCCACAGGCACTTCTGCTGACATTGCCTTTCAAAGGAGAAGTTCAGGCACCTGCTCTCTCAAGATCTGTGGTCTGCGCTGTGCTTTCATTCTGTGCATCCCAGAGAAAGCAGAAGCTGCTTTGTAGTAGTTCTGTGCGAATGCCATGGTTGGGGACAGGACTGTAGCTTTCCAGCAGGTAAGACCCAGGTGGGATGGCTCTATAAGAAACATAGAAAAGAGCATAAATACAATAAAATAATAGAAAAATGAGATGCTGGGGGTCATGGCTGTGCTTCGGGGTCACATGGCATGAAGCACTCGATACTGGAAGAGTTCTCTGGGCTACGGCAGGGAGAGCTCAGACACCAAATCAGGGTGGTGGGGAGGGTGGGAGAAGTTTGTGCTATGGACAGGAGCCCTTTAGAGCATGGGTTTGGATGCAGGACCAGCCCTGTCTCTTGCCAGAGGACAAGAAAAGCTCCTTGCTGATTAGCTGTTGAGCTGTCTGATTTTGCAGGACTAATCAGACCTCTATATATATCCCCAAAGGAGGTTTCAAGAGCCTTTATGCTGGTAAGGACTCCCCAGTGTCTCAGACTTGCCCTGAGGCCAGGCTGCCAGCCTTGACCTCATGCTCCCACCCCAGGTCCTGTGGATTTGTCAGAACCTTGCTGTTACACAAATGTTGTCTCTGGCCAAGTGTTGTTTCTGGCATGTATTTGCTTGTTGTTTCCCTGCACTCTGTGAGGAGATGGGAATGCCATCTGTGTCACCCAAAATAGACTTGGTCCCAGCAACCCAACAGGGGGCTCCTGTGGTTCATAAGGAAGCTATTGTTAGGAGGATCTAACACTGTGGTTCCTGGCCCTGCCAGCTGTGGAATGGAGCAGATGGATCAGGGATTTAAAAATAGATCTAAGCAGGCTTGCTGGGCTACTTGCCCTCGCTGGCTTGCACTAAAATCCCAGAGGTGTTCTGCTTATATGAGGCAGGATGCAGTACTGGGTGCTTGGCAGCTGCCAGCTGCTCTGGAGCATATTCAGCCATTGTTGGATTCAGGCTCTAAGTCTCCACTAAGTCTTATCCTCAATACAGCTGACGGGCTGAGAAGTCCTGTTTGCCCACAGCTGCTATGAGTGCACTGCAGCCATGTTTCTTTATGGCAGCCCTGAGAGCTGTGTGGTGCAGCTTTCCCTAAGGTGCCGTGTTACTAAACTGCTATATCCTGCCTCTAAGGCAGGGGGGTTAGATTATGGCGTGATTCTCAAGATGGTCACACAAGGCACCTTGCTGAAGGAAATGCTGCTATAGAAGCCTTTAGAAGATGCTAGTAGCTAGGGCAGCTTCAGCCCAGCTTGGGACATGATTTTCCATGGTTAAATCAGGATCTTGAGCAGTGATTAGGGATCTGGTCAGTTTTAAAAAAGTTCGTCCTCCTCTTTCCCTTTGCTCTACTGCTCTCTAGCAGGGGTCAGCAACCATTTGCCATCTTTGCAGCTCGAGACCTGGACTCCTGCCGTGAGCTTCCTGGAGCACCCAGCCTCCCTGTGCTTATCCTCACCACTGATCTCCAGCCCCTCTACCTCGAGGAGAAGTACAGACACAAGGAAGTGGGAGGCAGGGCTGTAGAGGGGGTGCTGTGGTCATGGTGGACAGAAAGCACACCTGCATGCTGCCAAATTCCCCTGTGCCACATCCAACCTCTTTGCAGGCCAGATCCAGTCTGTGGGCCATAGGTTGACAACCCTTGCTCTACAGGGTTAAAACCATTTGGGATCTAGCAGGCTTCATCACTGTTTCAGGTGATGAGAAAAGAACTTAGTGCTTGCTACAGAGCCTTCTTTTCATACACAAACTGCTACAGACACTTTCCAGTGGTATTTGAGAGTCTGTTGAGGCCTGCATGTCCTCCCCCAGCTAGTCCATCCAGCACTAGACTTTGCAGCAGTATGAGATGCATATGGCTCCCTTTCCCTGGTGTTTCTCCCAGAGCCTTGCCTCAGAGCATGTTTATTTTAGAATATGTAGCCCAGGTACACACGGGGGGGTGCACCTTGTCCTCCAGTGACCATGTTGGGAGTCAGGCAGGGTGCTGATAGAGGGGCTGGCTGCTAGAGCAGTTCCCTCTCCTCTCTACAGAGCCAGGCTGAGAACAAGTGCTTAACTAGATACAATTTATTACTATAATAAATACATGTACTTAAGATAAAACATGAAATATTTACAATAAAGCTTAGCATATCACACTACATATAATATCCCACAATCCACATAAACCAGATAACTTACAACATATATAATAATCAACACATTAAACGAGATAGTTAAGGTTACAGCATGAAAAACACATGGGGAATCAACTCGTATAACCCAAATAAGTTAATAATAATGTTCCCTTTAACCTACCAGGTATCAATACAAATATACATATTAATGCATTAAAACACATGAACCATATAAACTCCCTTAAAGTATACCCATAGCTATATAGACCTTGACACAACAACAGTCACCAAAATAGAGAATGCTCTCAGCACCTCCCCCAGGGGTTTCCTTGGAGCCCCACCCCTTCAGGGCCCTGGGATGTGGACACGCCCCTTGTGCAATGGAGGGTGGAGGCGGCAAACCCTCCTCACCCATGTCAGCTTCCCCAGCAACTCATGCTTCCTCTTTGAAGCAGGCAAGGCTCATCCCCTGGTGGCCAATCCCTCAAGAGCCTCTCTGCAGCGGTGCCTTTGGCTCTCCTCAACAGCCCGGCACCCTGCACTGGGGGCCCAGGGCTCCCTCTCACAGGAGCTGAGCCCTTACAGGCTCCGGCTCCCCGGTCTCACACCAGGGGTCCTCCCCTTCCCTGGGCCCTGCTCTGGGCACTGGGGCTCTTTTAGTTAAAGATGGAGCTGTACCGCGGAGCTCTGGTCACTTGGCCTGGGGCAGAGGCTAACTTGAGCAGTCACAAGCTGCTCCTAAGGTGGGTTCTCCGTGCACTGACCCATGCACTGGGTGAGGCCCAAGCAGCTGCGAGCTGCTCACAGGGCTAGCTCTCCATGTGCCAATCTGCACGACTGCCCAGCCGCTTGCTGGGTTTGCAGGCTCAAGCCGCCTTTAGCGGCTCCTAGAGCCTGATCCCTGCGCACCGATTCACGTGCTGCTAAAACTCAGGCAGGGTCCCAAGAACAACCGTCTCCAGAGCTCCTCTTTCCTCACCATCCCTTGTCGTCTCTCCCCAGCGTGCCGAGCATACTCCCCTTTTATATTCGCCGGGGGCTCCACCCCTGAAGTTCTCCAGATCTGGCTGGCACAGTTCCAATTCAGGTCCAGCTGCTCCTTGCCCCCTCGCTTTGGAAAAGGGCGAGGCATTGCTTACCTTTTGCTGCCTCTGGATTGGTAGACGGGTTCCCCCAATCAAACAGCAGGCCCTTGAGCCTGGGACTCAACCCAAGCCCTGAAAAGGTAAGCCTGCTACAAATATAGTAATTTTTGGTGCACGTGAAATTGAAGCAGCCAGCGCAAGGAAATGACAGGCCCCAGCTTCCCCCTCAGCACAAGTCTATGAAACTCAGTCATGACTTATAGCACCATAGAGACCCTCTGCTGTGGTCTGTCCCCTTGATGATGCAGGCTCTTGTGCTGAGCTAGTGGCTTTGTGCCAAGGAGAAATCTCTGCTAAAGAGTAGGCCCAAACCACCTAACTTGTTTCACTTGAGATATAGATAGGGACTAAACCTAGAACTTACATCAGGAAAACCTCAAGCCGCTTCTGTGGAGTTCGTGAAGTAGCCTGTGCACTGTCCCAATGATCAGTGTGGTACCTGGAGACCACGGAGGTGTCTACACTGCAGATAAACCTGAGCTTTGAACCATCTAGGTGGAGTACTACCACCAGTATGGGCTAATGTGTGAACATTTGTTTTCCCAGCAGATTTTGCAGTTTGTGCTGAGTTCATGCCACACCAACTACACTACCAGCAGTATCCAAGTTCAGTGTTGGTGTGTTGCTCTAAGTTGCCATCACAGTAGTGACAGCAATGTCAGCAAACCCTACATCTGTTAGTTCTCTAGGTTGTGGCATCCTCCCACTGAGACCAATGAGACAATATCTCTGTCTCCTTCACTGTAGCATCACAACTGACCAGATGATGGTTAAATACACTAAGCCAACTTTATCCATGATGTAACTCCACTGAAATCAAATGGGGATGACTAGCCCATCAATTTGGTTCCAAGCCATGCAGTTAAATGCAACGTGATCCTTATGTAGACTAGGAACCAACTACACAACCCTCACCTGGATGGTTTTGACTCTTAGTCAGTTATTTGAAGTTTGTTAGAAATGCAGCATGCTAGTTATTCAAGTGCTGGTTGTTAGAGTGACTATCCATAGAGCTGGGGGAATGTTAGGAAAGAGCCTGGGATATTGAGGGGGGCAGAGTTGCTGAGTTGTGTTTGCAGGGCTGCAGATTCATTATTTGTGAGTTTCTGGCGATGATGTTTATAAATCCCCAACACATCATAAGTTTTAGCACAAATTGGGACTCAGCTAAAAATTAATTGCGGAAAATGAATTCTTGTTCTTTTTGTTTTGAAGATTTGTCATTTAAGTTAGGAAGCAGAAATAGTCACAGAAACACAGATTTGCAAACGGAGTTAGTGAGCTAAAAACTGTTCATCCAAACTACCTGCTGAGTATTTCCAAATGATTATTATATATTAATGCAATTATATATACTTATAATTTACACAATAATAATATAAATAACTAATATATGTTCACAAATAGACACAAATGTCTACCCTCTGACCTGGGCAAAGTTAGGTATACTACCAAGAAATAAGTCCTGTCTTGTTATACCCGCGCTCGTGGATTTGTGATGTGAAAGGCTTGGCAGA